CACTCCAGAACTTGCACAATGCAAAGAGGATGGACACTGGAAGAGGGATCATCCCTTCCAATCTTCCACAGGGGTCAAGCAATATCTTGAGGAAAGCCCACTCAATTGACTTATCACTCCTGGGACTTCTGGACACAGAGAATTTATAGTCCAATTCCAGCCTTTCCTCAGAATGATACTCTAACCCCTCAGGGAAAACACCATGACCTTACTCAGCAGGAAAACATTACAAAAGAGGACTCTTCTCCCTAGACTTCCATAAGATAGCTTTGCTCCAGAAGTGCTCCCAAAGAATTGAACTCAAGTCTGTGTGTGTGTGTGGGGGGGGGGGAGTAAGGCCCCAACTCAAATTAGCTTAACTGACTCCATTTTATAAAAAGGATCCATTTTGTGTAACATGAAGTCTGTTTTACTTTGTTTTGCAGAAACTGTTCTTCTGAACTCAAGTAGAACTCCACCTGCATCTTGTTGATAACATATTCTGACCATATGATTCCTAGAAAATATTGTACAAGCTAACAAATAAAACATTGGAAAAATATTGAGAAACTTACTGCTCCAGCTGTTACCTGGAACAGCAATCTGAACCAAAAGACCAAAAATATCAGCAGTACATTCCTTCTACATTTTCAATGATTACAAACCCTAGCCCTAACCTCACTCTTGCCCAGGTGAGATGTAAATGTCTTCTCCAGTTTAAAACTTTTGTAACTATCCCTTAATTATTACTATTATTATTATTATTATTGATTTTGGTGGTATGGGGGCTTGAATTTAGGGTGTTGTCCTTGCTAGACAAGTGCATTATACCTCCAGCACTTTTTGCTTTCAGGTTATTTTTCAGATAATGCCTTGTGCTTTCTTATGCCCCTGGGGCTAGCCTCAGTTGCTTCCCACAAAGCTGGGATTACAGATATGTATCAGCATGCTCAGCCTATTTATTGAGATGGAGGTCTCACTAACTTTCTGCCCAGGCTGGCCTCAAACCATAATTCCCCATCACCACTTCCAGAGTAGGTGGGATTACAAACCTGAACCACCCTTTTCAGCCTACTTTGGAACTATTTCTAAAGAAAAAGAAGCATAGCATATGACTCTCAATATTTATGTATCATCTCATCTTTTGCTCAGTGAATACTGAGTGATTGAAATGGTAGCAGAGAACATAGGGTAGCATAAATTAGAAATAGATGAGAGAAATTTTTTAAAATGTGACAGAAAATTGAGTTATTTCACACTGAGTATATTTATAAGTATTTATGAGGAATGTGTAGAGAAAGGATAATGAGGGTACAATGGAATTCTACACAGCATTGAAAAAGAGTGAACAACTAATAAATAGGACAACTTTGCTTAATCTATAAGATTAAGCATTTATGTGACATTCTTTAAAAGATAACACTAGAATGACAGAATAGATGACTGGCTTTCCAGGGAGCAGCATAGGGGAAGTGTGAATGGGGAAAGCATAATCCAGTTCTTTGTGGTGATAGAATAATAGCTATTCTGATTTTGGTGGTAGTAACATGAAAATAGGTTCAGTCAGCACTCTGTATTCATGGGATCTACATCTGGAGATTGAACCACCATAGATAGAAAATACTTGATCTGTACTGAACATTATTTTCCTTGTTATTTTTCCATAAAAATACGATGATACCAACTCTTTGTAATGCATTTACATGGCAATCTATATTATAAATAATATAGATATGAGTTAAAGTACACTGAAAGATATGTATAGGTTATATGCTAATACTGTGCCATTTTGTATAAGAGATTCAAGCAAGTTTGAATTTTGGAACTATCTGGTGTCCTGCAACCAATCCCTTGCAAAATCAGAGGGTTTATTGTGTATTTTAAAAGGTCATGAACTGTACTACAACATTATTTAAAAGTGCATTTTATTATGTAAAAATTTCACTTTCTTGGGTAGGGTGTATAGTTTAGGAACTCAGGTTTTAGAACACTTGCTTAACATGCAAGAGGCCCTGGATTCAATCCCAAGCATTTCCAAAAGGATTGCAAAACTAACATATAAAGAAGGAAGAGGGACTGATAGATTAAAATAAAAAAGATGTCAATCAGGTATAATATGAAAACTTTATTTGGATAACAAAAACGTGCACCTTTTCATATACTTGGTGATCATTTTGTTTCTTTTTAAATATGTCTGTTTTGTCTTTTAACTCATTTTAAACAGTTTTTGTTTCTGTACCTACTGAATTGTAAAAGTCTTCTATATATTTTGAATAGTAACTCTTAATAATATACAGTAGATATTTTGTATTTGCTGATGTATAGTTTCAAGGAGATCACAATTGAGAAAACCCACACTTCTTACAGATGTATAGAGTTCAGTACTGTACTGTGGATGCTTTATTCATGCCACCCAGCTTCCACCAAACATGTGCCTCCTCTCAAGAATTCTAAAATTTTCACTTTATCATTTAAGCTAAGCACATTAACTTCTACCTTGCTTTTTGGGCACCATTTGCGTTTTGGGAGGGATATTTTCACAAAAATTAAGGGCAGGGGAACACCTCACACCCCTGACATCATCCCATTGTACTCTACCCTCTCCAGTTAATTCCTGCAGGGGATAGGGCTCATGTTCCTTTTAGATTAAGTGAGCTCAAGAAAATAAAAAAGGATTTAGGAAATTATACTGAAAACAGGACATTCTGGGATGTCAGGCAAAATTTTGAGCTGAGCTGGAAGGATGTAATGTATTGTTGTCTCAGAGTCTCACTTCCCTGGAAAAACAGCAAGTGCTAGATCAGGCAGTGGCAACTGGGGATGATTATCACCCTGATAAATGTGGCTTTATGAGCCTATCTCAGACTGGGCCCACAGAGGAGAAGGGGGAGGGAGGACAGGGATGTGGGATACCTGAAGGGAATCCAGATTCTAATTCCCACAGAGGAACAGTGCATAGATCTGATCTTAACTGGGACCCCAAGAGTGACAAAGATTCTTGAGGGGCCAAAGTAAAACCTCTTAATTACTCCCAAGTCATGGCTATACAGCAAGGACACTTAGAAATCCCAGTAACTTTCCTACAGAAACTTAAACATGCTTTACAAAAGCATACCAACATTGTACTGGAGTCACAGGAGGAGGAAGTCATCGTAATGGATCAATTCGATCCACAGTCAGCCCCAAATATTTGTAGAAAGCTTCAAAAACTGGCAGCTGAAGGGAGCAGAGATCTGGATCAATTGTTCCATGCAGGCACATCCACATACTATAATAGGGACTTAGAAAAAAAGGAAAAGGACCTGGAAAGGGAAAAGGAAAAAAGAAAAGATAAATGGCAGGAGGCTCTGATTGCAGTGACCTAAGAGGTTCCCCCAGGGCCCAGTCCAAACCCTCAGACATGTTTTCAATGTGGACAGCAAAGCCACTTTAAGAGGGAGTACCCACAGAGGACACCCCATCTCCTTCCCAAGAGACAAAGGCTTGCACCAAACTCTTTGTGCCAAAACATACTCTTCCCACTGGCAATAAAAAAAGCTATAAAACCTGAAGTTCAGCCTGACTCAGGGGACTACCAGTTTCTGGATCCTGCTGCATGACCCCCATATGGCCTTTCCTTTCACTTCTCTGCAAATAAATCTTCTCTGATTTTTGTTGCTTTCTGCTTCTGATTTCCATTTGAGCATGGAAGAAGCACCCTCACCACCCAAGAATCCCAGCACATCAATGTGTCTTTTACTGATCCTAGTCAATTCTCAAGTAATATTTACCACTATATCTATTTATATATATCATTATATTTACCACTATAGATAGATGATAGATAGATAGATAGAAAATAGCCGTAAACTCCTATTTCCTCCTTATTGGCATTTGTACTATTTTTGCTATACTTTTTATTTCAAAATATATTACCAACTCCAAAAATTTTGTTGTATTCATTAAATACTAATTTATATTTAAAAAATAAAATCATACTTTATATTTTCCTTCTCCATTGCTATATCTGGTATTCAACAAATACTGCATCAATGAAGATTTCTGTTCATTGTGTCCTAAATGATCCTTCATCATTTCTTTTATACTACTTATAATGTATATCAATTACTTTTAGTCTGAAAAATTTTCGTTTTCTTTTGATTTTGAAAGGTATCTTCAATGGGATAAAATTTTAGGATTTTTTTGTGGGGGTTATCCATAAAATTCAATGATTCTATTCCACTTTCTTGGCCTTGCACTGTTAATCACAAGATGTCTTGAATCAAGTATTTGAATGAGTAAGGAACAGTTGGAACCTTTATCTGTCTCTCCAGTAAGTTTGTGTGGGAGCAATACTCTGGTTTCTAGCTTGATGATCTGGAAGCTTAACACTGGTTGAAAGGTATAAGAATTGGAAATTGAGTATTATGGGGGTTGTGCATGGGGAAGGGAAGGGAGTGGGACAATGAAAAGAGAGGAAGGCAGATGCAGGAGATAATAGTATGAGAGAGATCTGTATAAATAAAACTTGGAAATAGAGAATGGTTTGGGGGGTAGGGAGAAGCAAAAGAAAAGAGAGAGAGTAAAAGAAAGAAAGAGAAAGATTTCAACAATTAGAAATTGAGAGAAAAAAGGGAGAAGAAAATAAAAGAAAGACAAAGGAAAGAAATAGCCAAAAAAGAAGGGAAACAAAGAAACAAAACAAAATAAAAATAACCAACAAACAAAACAAACAAACATACCAAAAAAACCCCACCAAACCCACATATGCAGCTTGTTGAAGAGAGGTTTGTTTGTCCAGGTTAGTCCATCTTCTCCCAGCTGTTATGGGAGCAGCTTTAGTACCTCTAGCATAAGGTATAGCAGGAGGCCTCAGGGGAGGGCAGTTGAGACAGCATGATTGACACTTTCCAGGCCAATTCTCTTAAATAGTTTTGCCCTCTTGAGTTGTTTTGGGTCTGTGCAGCTTCTGTAATTGGGGGGGAGGGAGGAAGACTTCCTCCTGAAATGTCCAGTTTTGAGTGGTCAGGGCCACTCATTCCATGAGTTGGGTACAGCTTGAGAAGGTGGGGTCACTGACCTTTGGGTTTTTTGTTACTTTTTAGATTGCTACAGTGAAAAACTCATACTCTCTATGTCTGCCTCTGGTGGCATGAAATGTGGTTCTGAAACTTGGAACTCCCCAGGCCCCAAATTCGTTGAGTTTGAATCTTGCTACTCTAACCTGTAATTAAGTAACTGCTCTAACTTGAGTTCTCAGTCAGTAAGGGCTGGGTTTTGTTTTTTAAATTGACTTTATTCAAGATGGGTGTTGTGGCAGGATTAGGCAGGGATCTAATCCTCTAGAAATTTTTGCTGTTTTCCTGCCAGAGATGCTTGGACTGTCCTGTCAGACCCTTTTCCTCACCAAGAGGGAACTCAAAAAACTAACCCTGAAAAGAAGTAACAACCTACTGAATAAATGGGCAAATGAACTGAACACGCAAGTCTAAAAAGAAGTACAAATGTCCAATAAGTATATGAAGAAATGCTCAACATCCATGACCATAAAGGAAATGTAATTAAAACTACATTGAGATTCCACCTAACTCCAGTCAGAATGGTTATCATCAATAACAACAACAACAAATGCTGGTGAGGCTGTGTGGAAAAGGAACACTTCTATGCCTTTGGTGGGAATGTAAGTTATTGTAACTGCCATGGAAAGCAATATGGAGGTTCTTCAGAAAACTAAAAGTAGAACTACCATATGATTCAGTGGTACCACTCCTGGGCATTTACCTGAAGGAATGTGCTGAGGATACCATAGAGCAACTTGCACACCCATGTTTATTGCAGCACTATTCACAATAGCTAAACTCTGGAAACAGGCCAGAGTCCCCACAACTGATGACTGGACTTAGAAAATGTGTCATATATACACAGTGGAGTACGACTCAGTCATAAGAAAGAATGAAAAATTATGTTGTTTCCAGGTAAATGAATGGAACTAGAGAACACCATGTTCAGGGAAGTAAGCGAGGTTCTAAAGGTCACAAGTTTTCTCTCATATGTGGAAGCTAGAGAGAGAAAGAGAGAGCAAGATTAAGGAGACTACAGGATGCAGGAGAGGAAAAGAGAATGTTAGAGAGTGAAAAATGTTGAAAAATTCTATCTATGTATGAAGATAGTATAACTAAGAATGGATACTAGTGGATACAAGGAAAGGATGATGAGGGTGAATATGGTAGATGTATTTTGTATTCAGGTACAAAAATAAAATAATGAAACTATTGAAATAGTACAAAGAACGGGAAAGGGAGGATGAGGGAGAACAATGGAGGGAGTGAATCTAATTAAGGTATTGTAAAGACATATGCAAATGCCACAATGTATCCCACTGCCTATCTATTATATGCTAATAAAAGTATACTAACAAAAAAGGATGTCTTCAATCACTGTTACCAGGCTTCCTTTGCATGCAATCGTTTTCCTAGCTGCTTTCAGATTTTATTCTTTCTATTGAAACTTAAGAATTTGGTTAATATGGGCTTTGGTGTTTTTTTTTTTTTTAATCATTGAAATGAATGTATAATTTTGACATCAAGTGATTCTTCTTTATGAAGATCCAAAGTGTGAAAGGCCATGGTTTACTAATGTATATTGGAGAAAGTCATATGAGAGTTTTCCATTATTTTCCATATGTGAAAATTTGTAAAGAATATCATTTATGCCAGATGCCAGTTGCTCATGCTTATAATCCTAACTACTCAGGAGGCAGAGATCAGGAGGATTGCAATTTGAAGCCAACCCAGGCAAACAGTTTGTAAAATCCTATCTAGAATACCTAACACAAAAAGGGCTGGTGGAGAGGCTCAAGGTGTAGGCCCTGAGTTCATGCCCCAGTACAAAAAAAAAAAAAAAAAAAAAAAAGGAGTATCAGTTACACTGAGGCTTCTGTATCCTAGTAAAAAATTCATACTTGGCTCTTCAGAACTGATGTTGAGCAGTTTCAGGGGAGCACTCCCATCTCACACCACACTTGGGGTAGAACCGATGCACTATCAAAGCAATTGTTGGGTATGTAGAGGATAACTCTGTTAACTATATTTTGTTCCCTATCTCCTCAAATCCATTTTGTCACCTTTTGCCTAGAGTCTCTTATTATGGTGGGGCTAAAATCACTCTACTACCATGGTCCTCTGGATGGTTCCCCTCCAGGCCAGTCCTGATGCCCTAAGGCCCCCTTATCATCTTCCCTTCTCATCAGGAAGCAGCTGAGAAAGAGAGTCATTGCCCCTGGCTCCCTAACAGCAGTTAGGGTGGCCTCTGAGGGTGTGTGTGTGTGGGACACATGAAGGGGGGATGGGCCACAGCACAGTGCTCCTGGTAGCAGCTGAATCACAGGAAGCTGAAGGAGAGACAGCTGTGGAACACTGAGCTGGCCTGGCCGTGGGGGTGGGGAACCACGCTGAAAACTTTCCTGGCAGGCTGCCTCCACAAACCTCCATGCTTCTGGAACAGGACACAGGTGTAACTTTCTCCAGACCTCTTCTGTGCTTGTGGTCAACACGTGAAATCAAGCAACAGCAGACCATCCCTTGTATCCCTAAAGCAGTGGGGGGACTAATCCAGAGACTATATGCCCCACATATAAATGGAGAAAGGGAGGGACTATAGGGGAATAAAAAGAAAGGCCCTGGTCACTTGAGGGGGACTACTGGTTTCCAGGTCCCCCTTCCTGCTTGAGTAAGTCTTTTTGTTTTTGTTCTCTGACATTGCTATCTACTTTGTTATACTTTGCTACTTTGTTTCAATACTTTTGGTTTCAGTTAAACCCACTTTGCTTTGTGCATTTACTATCTACTTTGCTTCATTTCCCTGCCTTTTAACTCTTTACTGGTGGAGGAAAAGGACCTACCTCAGAGCCTTCAGAGGGTATCACTAACTGAGGTTCAAATCGTGTTGCTTTTTTGGGGAAATCAGTGATACACCTAAGGCAGGCCTGTTCAGCAACAAACCAAACATTCTAAAGATTTAAGCAACCAATCTACCATGTTCCAGGCTATTGATTGTCCCACCTCATGGTGGTTATCCACATCAGCTGTTCGTATATCCATGGAGATGAATCCTGGTCCATATCTGGCTTTGATTTCAAGACAATGAATATAAATCTGCATCTCTTCTTTAGTAGGTGTTTGTTTCACCTCAATTTAAATACTTTGAGCTTGGAGAAGAGAGCCATGAATGGGTCCCCCCTATAAGTTTCCTTGCTTTCTGAAACATTTTTACCTCTTTTTTTTAAGTCACCCTCCAGCCCTCAACACTAAGCCCTGATGGAGGATCAAATCAGTAGTCACATCTCATTGAGAACAGAGGGTATACCTTACTCCAATCATCAATTGCCAATCACTCTGTATGTGAAAATTGTCTTACACATGGCACATTATTGAATTTTAAGCATTATTATCATAAAGTTTTACCTTACATGTTTTTTAACATTTTCCATGGAAAGTATCCATGGAAACATAAAACATAAAGCATAATATTGAAATATCATAACATACTTTATTTTTAATCACAATATTATTTAATATTTCATGTAGATGAGCTGCAGATATTAAATCTTGCTTGTTTACCCCATAACTGTAGCTCATGAATTGCAAACATTAGATATGAATACATAATTTCATTCTTAAATTTATATACACAATTATTTTACCCAATAGGGTTGTGTAACTTCACTTTTAATCAATAATTTCATTTCAAAAACCTATCAGGTGTACCAAAATGTTATATGAGCTGGCAATATTTTCTTCTATGGCATTGTTTTTAGCTAAATTAATTTTAACAAAAGCAGCTAAGAGCATAGCATTTTTGGGGTCCATGGAAATTTTTCTTTTCTCTTCTGTATTATTCCCAACTCCTATTTTTTTGTCTGTAGTTTTGGTTTCCTCTTGCAACAATGCCTGGATTTACTTCACACACATGTATTCTGATGAATGCCAGCACTGGCAGAAACTCTCATTTGTTATTTAGTATTTTTTGTATAGCTATAAAAGCCTCCTGGGTATTTTTGTGCATTTGTGAGAACGCTACCTTTGGGTTCCAGGGACAAGTTTACTAAACCTACATAGCACAAAAGACTATTCATAAGGCTGGCAATCCATGTTGCCAGCTTATGAATAGCAGTAGCCTACTTAGAAAACTAATTTTATTCAGAGATAATGCTGACTTTGTCCCTATATGCAGCAATAATATTCTTTGTAGGTTGACATTGTCTGGAAATCTGAGAATTTTATGGCTTAAAACAATTGAAGTTAAATTCTAAGTATTAGTTTTTTGTCTAGAGATTAATTTGAAGATTCAGGATAATTTTGTAATAGCTTTATTTATCTTATCTGGAAAATAATCATGAAATTTCTAGGTCAAGTAAGATTTCTATTTCCTATAGCAATGACCATATCAGTTCCCCAACTGTCTGTTTTCTTTCCTCATAGAACAATTTGATGACAGCCTGATAGTTAGTCCTATGTGTGCACCCTGGTTTTTCTTATGTCCAGGAGAAGAACAATACCTGCTAGTTTATTTTCAGCAGATCAGGTGTTCAGTGGCAATCTGTCCTCCTGAGGGGGTATGAAAAACCTTAGGGGTTCTCTTGGGATACAAGTGACTTGTTCTAGGACTCAGCATTTTTTCTGTCTTTGAAATATGAACAAAACCTGTAATAAAGAAAAGAGGAAAATACATAACACAGATTGAAAGCAGTTGACTCCAGGGTAAAAGTTTTACTAGTCTTTGAATGATAGCAGATCACTAATATCCTTTACTTTAAATCTTTTTCTTTAATACAGGCCCTAGTTGTCCTTGCTTAGAAAATTCTAACCACACAGAATTATGAAATTATTCACTTTAAAATAGTACCTTGATATTCTGAACATCCTTAAATATAGGACCAGAAAGCTACAGATACATAAGGCTAGAGGTAAATTAACTATAATCTCATGACACTATGTCACATCTGAAAAATCAGCTTAAACTTCGCCTTCTGAGCACTAACAGGTTCACAAGAATTCTGTGCTGCATCCAGGTAGTGCAGGTTGAGCAGGGCTTTGTTACTTTCTGAGGGTATACATGACTTACCTCAGCTTTTCTTCTAGCATCTCAGCTATAAACTACAATATATGGACATAAAAATCTTAGATATGTTTCCCCTAAATAGACTTGTCCCCTCACATTATTTATTTCTTGACAAATCTTAAGTTGATATGATATGCCAAGCACGATCACTGTTTTGTACTGAGTTATAAGTATGTAAATGAACAGAGTGTGTGAAGCAAATCCAGTAAGAAGAAATGGGCACTCATATGATCATGAGCACAAATTAAAATCCTGGTGAAGAATCAAGCTATAGGGAATCACTGTCCAGGGATATTGGTTTTGGTACTACACTTTGTATAGGAATATGACCTTATGAATGAAGTCAACCCAGCAAGACAAATAGCGGGATTTAGGTCATGTGCTCACTGTATTCAGAACAGAAAAGTGTCTTTGCAGGAGGCATAGTAGATACATATTTTAATCTTTGGCTTTCCTTGTAGGCTATTTTTAAGATTAAACCTAATTTTGCATAATTTGATGTTTTATAATTTTAATTTATTATGAATCTAAGGTTACTGATTTTAAAATTAAAACAAAAATATTGAAAATAGAACAATTAATTGCCATCAGTTTCATTCTTACAAAGGTATGCAATGTGTTCAAAGTTTAAAGTTCTGATTAAAGTATCTTTTGAAAGCCAACTATGGTTTTCAGTGAAGCAATGTCAGAAAAACTCCCTGCCACTCATGTATATAGAAGAAATATCTGAAAGATAAACATGATAAAAATAAAGAAACCAAAATTTTAAATAAGTCCTTTATAAACTGAGAAATTATTGCTTAAAATTTATATAAATAAATATAACTGTTGTGGAAAATTATCAGAATTTAGAAAAGATTGGCATTCCTGATGTCTGGCTCTCTCTGCCCAACAGAAGAGAAAGCGATATATATGTTTTAACTGAAATTTGGGAATGAGTTCATGTTGGGATTACATAGTAACTCATTTTCATGCATGAATGACTCATTCATGTGTTCACGCATTCTTCTTTCATTCATCTATTTCACAAACATTTTGGTCCCAATTTTGTCATTCAGCTTCCAGTTCATTAGGACTTTAATAGTGAATGAGACAGAAAAAAGCCATATACTCACACAAATATAATATAGTGAGAAGATATATAAAAACCTATTATATAATCAGGAATGCTTCACATTATAACAAATACTATGCAAGAAAATCAGCAACAGGGGGGTGGTTGGTCTAGAGAGTGACCGAAGGCTTTAGTTGCATTGTCAGGGATTCTCTGAAGAGTTAGATTTGACCTAAATAACCAGGGTAAACAGCAAGACAAATTTATGAGGAATGGCATTCAAGCAGAGGCCAGTGTTTGTGCAAAATCTTTACCCAAATTATGAATTTACTGCATTTAACTAATAAGATAAATATTACTGTTGCCAGAAACTAGAGGGACAGGTAGAAAAAGCAAGAGATGATCCATCAGATGTAGGCAGGAAACTGTTTATGTAGACAGAACTATTAATTTTTAAGCATATCACATTGAAATGTTATTCTACAAATAAATTATATTATTTAAAAAAGTAATAGATTTTATTTAATATTCATTTAATATATATGTCTTATATAAAATCCATATGTTGTCCCATGACCTGACTCTCCACTAGGTTCTACCTCTTAAAGATTCTACCGCCTCAACACTGTGACTCTGGAGGTCAAGCTTTCCAGCATATGAAACTTTGGGGGACAAATCACATCCAAACTATAACATAAACATTTCCTGTTTTATAGGTGCCAGATTATTTTCTAGGATACACAGGAGTAGAAATTTCTCGGAGTGGAAAAGTATATCTCAATTTTTTAGGGCTTACCAATTATTTTCCAGAGATTATTCAAACTTATATTTCTGAAGGGATTGTGATTGAGTGTTTGTGTCCTTTTGTCAGAAGTTTTTGTGGTTATTGTTGTACACTTTTTCCTATTGAGATGTTTGTTTTTTTGCAACCAATTCACGGGTATTTTCATAAATTCTGGTTACCAATGCTTTATCATTTCTATGCTTTGAAAATATGATCAAGTTTTTGACAGCCTTTTGTACTTGGTTATGTTATAGAATTTTTTAAAAAAAATTTTACTTTGATCACATTTGGTAGATTTGGTAAAAGTTACCTTATAACTTTATTACAACATGCTACAAAAGCTTTTGATAAAATTGTTTAACTCTAATGCTTGAAAACATACAACTGTGTCAAGATTTGGGGGGATACAAGCCTCAAGATTTGTATCTTTGATCCTAGATACAAGATTTGTTTTCTTTGATCCTAGTGCTGTTGGAAGATTTAATAATACTGAGAATATTGACACTCAGAGAATGAGGATGTGGGGCAAAAGGACTTCAGCAGCTGACAAATCATACTGATGAAGCAACAAAGATGTTTTGGAACAATTCTGATTGTCATTTGATTGCTTATGTAATATTTGGCTTCACATTTGAAAAATATCAGCTTTCACTGCTCATTTTTCAGAATTCTTTCCCAAAGCAAACATACATGCAAATATATATAGTGAGAAGGAAGGAAAAAGAGAATTAAAATTTCAATTACACCCCAGAAAGGCCAATGCATTTACATTTGGTCACAGTGAGTATGATTCTCTGGAATTATAAAGCTTATCAATTTCAATACACAATTCATATATTCATGTAGGATGTTTCTTTCCACCTTAGGCAAAGCATAATTCTCCATGGAAATTTATGACATTTATGATTATGTGTCTAGATATTTTTGGCTAAAATGTTCTTTTTGTCTTTTTCTACTTCTTTGGTGTCTTAACTTTAGAGAATTTGAGAGGAAAAAAAAGACAATCGATATGCTGTGTGTATAACTAGCGCAGGGCAAAGTCTCCCTCACTTCTATCTCTTCTGTGGTAGGATTAGCAAATTGAAATATGATTCTTAAATCATTGTGCGTAGAATAGCACTTTAAGCAGAATCTTTATGGGAAGTTGTAAGAAGAGTTTGAAAGTATATTTAACATTTATTACCAGCATTTATGTGGGTTTTTTTAGCAAGTATTTTAGAAATCCTAAGAACATTAGAGGAATATTTTCAGTGTTTATACTTATCCTGAGAAGGTCAGGTTGGCATTCTTGACCAGGTAAGATCCCTTACATCTCACAAATTCTGGAATCATATGAATGTTCGTCCTACTTTTTCTGCCTCTCTAATCACTCCCTGTTACCTTCCCTTCTACCTTTCTAGTTTTCTGTTGTCACAATCTGATGGATTTGAAAGTTCTTCTTTAACAATCTTTGCTAAACAAAACCATGAAAAAATATTGGTGCCCTCAGTGAATTTTACTAAGCTAGTGAGATAAAGTTATTTTATTTAGTTTTTGATGAAAAGCTAAGTGAAAGGCGGGAGGTTTGGGGGAATAACAGGGTCCATTACTTTCAATCTCATTTAATCTAATCTTTGAAAAGTCTAGAGAGATCTTTAAGACTCCTATTACATAATACAAACAACTTTCTGTCATGTATGGTAACAAGTGGAAATAATAAGGCAGCTATAGAATGATTTTGCTCTGTAACATTCACTGCATTATGCGAATAACTACTTTCTCCTGTAGGTTCAAAATGTGGTAGATACTTAAAACAATGTGCTTTGTCTATATATGTGGAAATATATTTTGTTTACTTAAGGAAAAATGTAAGGACCCTGAGGCCAACATGAATGTTTTAAGTTATTCTTATCACTAACAAAACCACTTATAATGATTTCATCACAATTTGTATTTGTTATAATCTGAAAGATTTTTTAAACATAGAATATGGCATCCCGATCCAATAAGAAATTCTAGTTTATGAAATCATAAAAGTCATCAAGCAAACAAATTCATGAAGGTAAATATTTTGTCATTTCTCCATTTAGAGTCAAATTATTTTCCTTTGGGGTTATCCATATGAAGTATATGATGTTTTTACTGAGGATGGGTATTTCCTTCAAGTTTATCGAATTCCTCATGGGAAGAATGATTCTAGTAATTTAGGTAAGGTTCATATGAGAGAAAGCATTGAAATTTTTAAGGTTTTAAATCAAATACATTCCATATAAGATTTTCCTAATCATATTTTCTTTAATAATATGTCCTATTTCTGCACATTTTTTTGGTTTTCATAAGATGTGAACTGTTTAATTGAAAAGAATTTAACTTATAAATTTTAGAAATTAAGAATATCCACTAAAAGTTTTTTGTTTGACCAGGGTGGGCCAGAAAGAAGGCATTGGACCTTAAGAGTTGTGGCTATTTTTCTGCCCATAGGAGCAGGGAATAATAATTATAGATGTATCATGAATGTAATGAAGTCTTATCATCTCCTTGAGTTATAGGGCAAATAGTTCAGCAATATCATTGTGACTTGAAATTTTTTTGTTGTATTTTCATATTATAATACATTTGCTATGATTTCTTTGCAGCCCAAAAGCCAGTAGTATATTTACAACATGGTTTGCTTTTTACTGCTGGCATTTGGATTTGCAATCTTCCCAACAACAGCCTAGGCTTCATTCTGGCTGATACTGGTTTTGATGTGTGGATGGAAACAGCAGAGGAAATTGCTAGGCAAAGAGACACTTGCACCTTGACACAAAGTCTAAAGAATTCTGGACTTTTAGGTAGGTTAAAAAAATTGTAACATTTTATATTTCCTTAAAACTGTGTTAAACATTTTTAATATCTTAATAAATTTACAGAACTAGAGTGAAGGCATTTCACTAAACTAAGTATTGAATAATGTTTTGAAATATTAGTGGAGAAAATTCGTTTTTGACTTTATATTATTAGTGTGGCTAGAAATTTGGTTAAAAATGAATATAATAGACATTTCCTGTTTGTCCCTTTGTTTCCCAAATATTAATCATTTTGTTTGACCAACCACTTTTTTTTGAAAACAACTTTATTGAAATATAATTGCTATAGAAAGACTACACATACTTAGTGTACACAATTTGGTGAGTGTATGTTTACATATGCATACATTCATCATCCACTACTTTTTAATGTTCATATTATCTTTAGGTGAAAATAGGAAAGGGAGAGAACATAATGGGGGAGGGAGGGTGAAAATGTACATGGCTAGCTTATGTCACATATGGTTAGCTTATGAAAAGTTAATTGAAATTTTTTCCTGTCAATTTGCTAAAAGAAAAAAATCCTTCCCATTTTCATCTTTGCACCTTTAGCAACTTTGCAGACGTTTTACTGTTTGGTGACCTAATTTATACAGAATATTGCTCATATGCATTTTGTGTGAATGCTTTATAGTGTAATGTCTTAGAAATTGGTATCCAGAGCAAATGTGTTTGAAATTGAGTGTATCATTTCATCAGCTGTGCTCATAGGCACGATTCCTGTCTTCAGAACAGTATGCATAATCATAGACTCATATCAAAGGTATTGTCTGAGCATTTAATAAAATGGAGCTTATAAAAAGATACTAACACAGTAGGAAGGATTTGGTTTATGTTGGCTCTTAGGACCCAGGTCTCTCTTTAGAGGGATTTTTAAAGGTTATAATTTGAAATACAAACATAATTTTAATATTTAATAAAGAATTAAGTTATAATTATTATTTCTATTTTGTGCAGCTATGATGAAATGATAAAATATGATCTTTCTGCCACCATTAATTTCATTGTGAAGAAAACAGGACAGAAGCAAATTTACTATGTGGGCCATTCCCAGGGCACCCTGACATCTGATGATGCTGTGATTTTTATTTTTATTTTTATTTTTTTTTATTTTTACTTTCTTTTTTTTTTTTTTTTCATTTTTCTTTTATTATTCATATGTGCATACAAGGCTTGGTTTATTTCTCCCCCCTGCCCCCACCCCCTCCCTTACCACCCACTCCACCCCCTCCCGCTCCCCCCCTCAATACCCAGCAGAAACTATTTTGCCCTTATCTCTAATTTTGTTGTAGAGAGAGTATAAGCAATAATAGGAAGGATCAAGAGGTTTTGCTGGTTGAGATAAGGATAGCTATACAGGGCATTGACTCACATTGATTTCCTGTGCGTGGGTGTTACCTTCTAGGTTAATTCTTTTTGATCTCACCTTTTCTCTAGTTCCTGGTCCCTTTTAAAACATAAAAAATACTTCTTTTAGAAATAATTTGTTATCAAAATCACAGCTATCACTGTAACTCTTCAGAACATACATATAAGCCAAGGTTTTTGAATTTTTCTTTTCCTTTGTGGCACTGAGGATTAAACCTACAGCCTGTGCTTATTAGGTAAGCACTATCACTTGAGCTACTCCAAATCCTCAATTGTTTCTTTTTGGTATGTAAGTATATGGATATACATATGTATATAATATATATACATACATATATGTATATATGTAATTTGTTTTTTTGTTTGTCTGTTTGTGTCAGGGTCTTACTCTGTAGCCCAAGCTAGCTTCAAATATAAGATCTATTGACTCAGCCTCAGGAGGGCTGGATTTACAAGTATCAACCACCAAATCCAGGTAATCTCTTTCAAAATAACTGCAAGAATAATTGATACATTTGTAATCTCCTTTTTAAATGCCATATATTAATATCATCTTTCCAAACATACAAGATATTTAAACATGGTGTATGTGTAAGATACACTTGGGATTTTCTACAACTGGAATTTCTAAGACTGAATACTTGACATATTTCTTTTTCTTTTCCTTAAGTTTATTTTTTTTTGTGTGTGTGGTGCTGTGGATTGAACTCAATGTCATGTGTATGCTTCAAAAGTGCTCTACAATGAACTATATCCTCACTCTTTGTATTGCTTTCTTCACAGGAAATTGATGTGTAGATACCATTTAGGAGAAGTCTTATTATTTTGGATTCTTTGAGCATTTAAATTCTGTGGCCTCAGTAAGCTTTTTTTTTTTTTTTTCTTTGTGGTACTGGGGCTTGAACTCAGAGCTTTCACCTTGAGCCACTTCAACAGCCCTTTTTGGTGAAGGGTTTTTTGCCTGGACTAGCTTCAAACTGTGATCCTCCTGATCTCTGCCTCCTGAGTACCTAGGATTATAGGCATTCCGCCCTCAGTGAGCTTTAAGTTTGCCTGTTATATGAGTCACATTGATTTCCATACTTACAATCCAAAAATATTAAATGCATTTGAACCTTCTATCTGGCCAAGAAAACATTTCTAATTAATTCAAGTATTCATTTGTTTAAACATATAGTGTATCTACTATTTAAAAAATACTTTTCTGGCAGGTAGTTATATTTTATGCTATATGTTAAAGAAAACTTATCTTCCTGGGGCTCACATTTTGATAAGACAGGATGTCTTGCCATCAGCACAGACCCTTAGATATTTAGAGCCATATAATATTTGTGGGAGCTTCCCTGTGCTATAAAAAAAGCATGTGTGACATCTGCTTACTAGATGGTGGTAGCATAACTTCCTTCTTACCACTTGTAGCTGTGGCAACCAAAAATGTTTCCAGATATTAACAAATGTTCCTAAAATATCAAAATAACACATAATTAAGGACCACTCCAAAACCAGAATGGTATTCAGAGACAGCTTTCTTGTCAGTCAGTCACAGTGACAGGAATGAGGAGAGTAGAGAGATGCAGGGCTGAGTCATATATTGGGCAGCGCAGGCCCAATTTCTAGGTTTCATAATATTTTAGGGAGGGAGTCACAAAAATATCTAATTTCTTTTAAAAGTAAAAGAATGTTATATCATCAGTCACAAAATAAGATTTTTTTGTGTGTGTGTATGTATGTGTGTGTGGAGGATGACAACTGGGATTGCTGGAAGGGACCAATGAAGGAAAAAGTTCCTGGAGGTCATAAAAGTTATCATGTATCCATGAGAAGAGATTATCTTCTCCAATGGGTAGAGAAGTTTGTACACAAATAAAAAATGTGAGCTGAATCTTATATATGAACATTTTTGAAAACAAAAATTAAAAAGCTAAAAATAAAAATACAAGGAACATTCTAAAGAAGACAAAGTCTATGAAGCTATTAGAATTCCAAAAGCGTGAGTTAACTCAGGGGAAGATGAATGTTTGATTTTTCCAGTTTTTATTGTTGCTTTGCTAATGGAAAAAATTCCAAGAGTCACAAACTGGATGGAATTCAAAGAAATTATTTTAATGATAAAGTGCTAGGATCAGAGGAAATCCCCAGAGATCAGTTTGAAATATATGGTAAAGAAGAATAGGCATTCAGTGTTCAAGCTGTGAACTAGGCAAATGGCAGGAAGTTTGAAGCAAGAGAGAATTCTGGTAAATGAATTTATTCTTTTACTTTTTTTCAACTTTTGGAGCATTTGCAACAAATCCACAACTGGCCCAAAAGATTAAAATCAATTTTGCACTGGCTCCAGTTACTACTGTTAGATATATAACAAGAGCTGTTTGTGGTTTTGCTTACATATCCCCAGCAGTGTACAAGGTTTGAGATTCTTTACAGCATATTACCAGAAATAGAAGTATGCTTATAGTTTTTAAATTGAGGAAATGTTGATAGACATTTTGATAAACAGAAGACATGTTGATAGCCTACTGCTTCATTAAAATACTCCATTTCCCTCATTGGTGTAAAACAGATCTCCCAAAAGCTGGCATTGTATCTTGTATGCTGCTGAGTCTTGAATTACTTAGTTCATCAAGTGTAGTATATTCCTTTTTTCCCCCTGTTTTCCTATCTTCTGTAATCTTTATTAACGCAAATGTACAATCTGTATATATAGTTCAAGTTACCATCAATGTCTCCTCTCATGCACACTGAAATTTCAATAGAGTGAAAGGATTTTCATTTATTTATTTACTTATTTACTGAGACAGGGTGTCCTGTGTAGCAAGGCTGTCCTGAAACTTGTCATCCTACAGCCACATTCTCCTGTGTGCTGGGATTGCTGATGTGTTACCATATGCCGGGCTCTGGATTTTCCCCTTTTTATTACTTTTTGCTGGCCATTATCTGGGCAATGTATAAACTAAGCTCTCTCCATTGTTCTTGAGGTTGTTATTTTAATTATGCATGTAGTGCAGAAATACTACAGAAATTTTAGGAAACATGTTAATGAACAATAAATGAAGTACTGGAAATCTTACTCATCCTGGTAGCAATAATATGCACAGTATGTGTTTCATTTTTATGAAGAAGTATCAATTTTCCAATGTTGCACAGTATGTGTTTCATTTTTATGAAGAAGTATCAATTTTCCAATGTTGGCTGTACCATTTTGTGCCAGAAACAAAGTATGTTGGTTAAAATTGTTCTTCATCCTTGTCATTAGTTGATATATTTAGGTTTTTACTTTAAAAAAATTATTTAGTTGCAATGCTTTTTATTTGTCTTTCCTTAATGACTATTGATTAAGCATCTTTTCCTTTGTGTCTTTCCACCCAAGTAACTGCTCCTTTCTCTTTAGAACTGATAACTTTATTAGTTTCTTACTCATATTTCTAACTAGTTTTATGTGTTTACATATATGTTCTCTTAAAATTATAAATAATATTGCCATGTGTTTGCTGGGTTGCTTTTTATTTAAAAAGTACTTTCAGTCTGGGTTCGGGGACATTTTAAAAAATTGAAGCAATACTTTCTTCTCCTTATTTATAATTCTCATATCCTATAGGTTGTTGAGAGGACTAATTAGCTTCCTGCTCTTATGAAAATCTTCATGGTGATTCTGGAGGTCAAGTATTATGAGTCTTACAGATGTAGTGTTCTTTTTCAAGGGTATTTTCTTATCAGAGTTTCTTGCAGTAAACTGTAAAACTAGCATACTACCTTGTACTAAACAAGCTAACAAAATGAAGCAAAACAAAACAAAAACCACTAGTAATTTGAATATTCTCTCTTGCAAAACAATATATCTCACCATTTACTTAAAACTTCTTTAATTTTCCCAGGCTGTTAAATACTGATTTCTAATTGTCTTTAGTTACTCCATAGGAAAAAAATGATTTTGTATGTTCCTATATCCTGCTAAACTCATTTATGTGTTCTAGTTGATTTTTTGTAGATTAGAGGATCATATTTTCTATAAATACACCCTTTTTTGGTCATTTTTAGTGCTATTTTCTAAATTTAACTTTTTGTGTGTGTATTATTGCATTGGCTAGAACCTGCAGAAAAATGTTGCACAGAACAATCATCCTCTTTTGCTTTCGGCCAGAAAACATTTATTTAGCCTGTCTTCCTTCCTTCCTCCTTCCTCCTCTCCCTTCCTTCCTTCCTTCCTATCCTCCTTCCTCCTCCTTTCCTTCCCCCTTCCTTCCTTCCTTCATTCCTTCCTTCCTTTTCCTCCTCCTTTGCCCTCCTTCGCTTCCTTCTTCCTTCCTGTCCTTCCTTCCTTCCTTCTTCCTTCCTTCCTTCCTTCCTTCCTTCCTTCCTTCCTTCCTTCCTTCCTTCCTTCCTTCCTTCCTTCCTTCCTTCCTTCCTTCCTTCCTTCCTTCTTTCTTTCCCTCCTTCCTCTCTTCCTTCCTTCCTTCTTTTCTTCTCCCTATGTAGTAGCACAAACTGGTCTTGAACTTTTTTATCTCAGCCTCCCTGGTGCTGCAATTACTGGTGTGTGTCACCACACCTGGCTAGTATTTTACTCTTCTTGTTTTCTTTCTTTTTGCAGGACCAGAGTTTCAACTCACATGCTTTTTCTGAAACTGTTATTAACAGATATTAAATATGCAGTGATTTTTCCTTTCATGTTCTAAATGTTGGTAATTTCTTCCATCTCTTTTAATTCTGGTCAGTCTGGCTACAAGCTTATTTATTTTATTTCGTCAAATGAGCAGCCTTTGGGAAATTTATTCCAACCTCTTTGATGGTCTCTTGGTCTTTAACGTTTTCTTATCTCTAAATTTGGGTATAAGAGCTTCTTCTTTGTATACTTCTTAAATTAACGTTTATTAAACTCTCTTTGATTTTATGCTTTCATTACTGTAATTAAATTATGTTTTACACATCATCTTTTGGAAGGAAGCTATCTCACCACTATACCACCAACATCATCAAACACATTTGAGTAAGCTATGCTTTTTCATTCAAATCAAAATACTTCATTTTCTCATTTGATTTTTATTTGGCTCTTTTGTGACTGTAAAGTGTGTCATAGAAGCGTGGAGTGTAACTCAAGTGGTACAGTGCTTGCCTAGCATGCTAAAAGCCCTGCTAATAATCCATAGTCACCCATGAAAGTATACCATAAAATATTTTTCAAGTATTTGGAAAATTTCTGGTATACATCTGTATACCAGAATACAGATTGATTGCTACTTAAATTACATTTTATTCAAAGAACATAGTTTATATGATCTGAACTCTTTTAAATTGTTTTATATCTCTGCATATGTTACAACTTGGTAAATATTTGTTCCTAATTGAAAAGAATGTGCACTTTCATGTAGATTTTTCCATCACCAGGTGAATAGTTCTTTAATTGTTTATTATGGTTACATTGTTCAAAAAGTATTGTCAAGATTTCCATATCCTAACTGACTTTCTATTTGTTCCATCAATTATTGGGAGGGCAGAATTGTAATGTCCATGTTTTACTGTGGATTGATATATATATTATTCTTCTAATTCTATCTGGTTTTCTTATGCATTGTGAAGTGTTCTTAAATACATAAGCATTTACAATTTCATATCCTCTTAATTAGTTAATCCCACTTTTAAATTATCTACTGTTAATGTTCTTTACTTTAAACTCTACTTTGTCTAAAATTAATGTGTCTATAATTCCCTTTTGGTTAATGTTTGTATATTGTATGTTTCCATCCTTATATTGAACCTGTTTGTCTTTATATTCAAAGTTGTTTCTATTGGAAAGCAGAATTTGACCTTTTGAAAAAGATCTTGTTTAAAGAAATCCTATTTAATATCATTATTAGTTAGTTAAATCTTAATATTTTATATTTTTAATTGGTTAATCTGTTTTTCCTTTTTTTCCCCTGCCTGATTTTGAATTAACTGAGTACATTGAATAATTTTCTTTTATTTCCTTTATGGCTCATAAAGAATAAACTTTTTTTTATTTTGTTTTAATTTTTAATGTTTAATTCGAGGTTTATGGTATACATTTGTGCTATGTCACACTCCATGCTCAAATAATAGTTACTACTTAATGTATACTATAATAACCTTCCTTAACACAAAACTCTCATGTCTCCTCCCTTGGCATTTGTACTATTTTCATCTCATTTTTTTACATTGTCATAAGTTAACAACAACAAATTTCATTAGTATTTTTCTTTAAAAACCTTTATCTTTTAAAATGTATTAAAATAAGAAAAAAGACCCTTTACATTTTCCTGTTTGCTTTCTACTTCATGTACAGTTAATTTCATTGTTTATATTATGACTTTTACTCAGTAATAATTTCCCTTCCATTGCAGGACTTCTTTTAACCTTTCTTGTATTGTTGGTAAGAAGAGATATCACCTTCCTTATTTCTGACTAACCATTGTTTTGTCTCTGTATCTGAAATATATTTCCACTAGGGAGAGAATTCTAGATTTTACAGTTTTTGAAGAAAAGTTTTTCATTGCAATTTAAACATGCTGCTCCACTTTTTTCTTATTTGCATTTTCCAGAAGAGATTAATTGTCACTAGTATAAATTTCTCCCATGTGTAATTTCCTTTTTTTCTGGCATTTTAGATTTTTTTCCTCATTTGTTTTAAGTAATTTGTTTAGTATGTGCCTTGATATAATATTTTCATATTTCTTATGCTTGCAATTCATTATACTTTTTGGATTTATGTCAGAAGAGTTTGGAAAATCAAACTTAGAAGCTTCTTTAACTATTTCTTAAGAGATGTTTTCTAGTACCAACTTTTTTGCATCCAATTCAGAAGGTACAGTGGCAATATATTAGGACTCTGGGAGTTTCCTCATGGATCAGTCATACATGATCATTTCTTCTCAGTATATTTTTCTTTCCATGTTTGTTTTTGGTTAGTGTCCATTATTGTTTTCAAGTTGCCTAATCTCTTCTTCTGCACTATCTAAATTTCTCCTAATCCTGTGGAGTGTATGTTACTTACTAAACTTTATAGTTTTAATTTTGAACTGCTGTCATTCTTTTTATATTAGCCATGTTTCTACATAACATGTTCAGTTTTCCTGTATTATATTACATATATGAAAGTGAGTTAATTAACTATCTTAATAGTCTTGTCTATTAATTATACCATCTATGTTGTTTCTGAGTCTTTCTATTAACTTATTTTTCTCCTCATATAAGTCTAATTCATTCTTTGTGTTACTGGCTTTTTTTTTACTAGACACTGATTTTAGTGAATTTTTTCTTGTCAGGTACTTTAATATTCCTGGAAATATTTTGGAACCTTTCTTGTAGGATGCAAGAAATAGTTTAATCTTTTTGAGGGGTTTTATTTTTGTTTTTTAATAAAAAATACTTTGGCTTATGTCTAATTATTTTTC